TCAACAATTCTGGCCTCCTAATCCTATAACAACTCCTAGTCTTCCCTATACCAGGACCTTGTAACTCAGAGCCAATACCAACCTAACCTACATCCCAAAAAACTGATTTCTTTTCGCCACATAGCAGCCCCCCCCGGTACGCCAGTGGATTGCCTTCCTCCCTCGGAAAACCCCAGATCTCTCTACAAGGCCTCACGCTCCTGCCATTTGCAGGTTACAGGGCAGCGCCCCAGCTCCGGTCGGCGTCGTTCTGGCATCGGTAAACCAGGGGCACAGAACAGAGCAACTCTGCAGATATCTGTCCAGGTTCGACCATCTCTGAATTCCTATCTCCCAGATGTAGAAGAAGGCTAGATGCTGCCAAGAAAACCAGAACACCAGAAAGCTTAATATAACCTGATGATGATGACGATGCTGATGCTGATTATGATGATGATGCTTATGATAATTAGTATGTGAAAAATATAGAAGACTATACTATATCAGCACTTCTGGCCTCCTAATCCTGGAACGCCTCCTAGCCCTCCCTGTACCAAGACATTACATCTCAGAGACAATGCCCTCCTAACCAGTGTCAGCCATAGTTGACCCGTTCTCATCACCTAGACTATCCCTAGCCCCATAGGGTTATCAAGGCCCCCCCCCCTGTTCGCCACTAGATTGCTTTCCTCCCTCAGCAGATCCCCAGATCTCTCTACAAGGCCTCGTGCTCCCGCCAATGCAGGTAACAAGGCAATGCCCCAGCTCCGGCCAGCATCGTTCAGGCATCGGCTAACCAGGGGCATAAAACAAGGCAACTCTGCCGATATCGGTCCAGATTCGATCATCTCTGACATCTTTTATCTCGAAATGAGGGAGAATGCCAGATGCAGTCAAGAATTTCAGAACACCGGTAGGCATAATATAACATGAATGATAATGATGTTACCCTAAGGTTAGTCTCTCCCCACCCCTCCTTTCCACCCTGTCCCATCGCTGCCTCCGCCGCAACAGATTACATAGACTACAGGCAACCCATCACAGCCCCAACTTGTGACGGTCCCACGTTTCCCCCCCTTATCCCAGAAAGGCATACAGTTCCCTCCCAAAGTATGCCTCTGCCCACCATTTACCCTGATCTACCCCCGCTGGTGTGAGTAACCCCCCCACCAACCCCGGACTAAGGTAACCCACTAACTCTGCTCACACCCTCTACAGGGCTTCACCTCCCACCATGTGTCACCCCTGCAGAGTGGAGCTCTCCCCTAGTCCCTCACCTTCCATCCATCAGAGATAAACGTAAATACTTCAGAGAGGAGAGTATAGATACCAGGAATTGATCAGAGTCAGCTTATGGGAATAAAAACAGCGAAAATTAGACTTGGAAAGTGACATGGATCAGAATTTGAAAATTTTAACAAAAACTATTTGTATCTAAAATTCCAGAGATAGGGAAAATAATTAGGAATTAAATCCCCCTGAATTTTTCGCAAGGAATTTTAGGTATATAAAATACCTTACATGATAATTAGACAAGAAATTTCAGGCTTCAAGGATAAGAAAGATCAAGAATGTATTGAGACTTTAGTTTGGATACTAGTTAGAGAAAGTAGTTAGGGTCGTAATGGGATCGTAGCTTGTATATTAATTAGAGAAAGTAGTTAGGATCATTAATGGATCGTAGTGAAATGATGCTATTAGAGGTCGGATTGGATAATTAGATAATATGAAAACAACCTTACCTCAATACTGATGATGATGATGATGACGATGATGATGATGATGATGATGATGATGATGATGATGATGATGATGATGATGATGATGATGATGATAACAACGATGACAGCGCCGATGATGATGATGATGACGATGATGATGATGATGATGATGACGGCGCTGATAATGCCGCAGATGAAGATGATGATGATGATGATGAAGGTGATGACGGCAGCTGATGATTACCCTTGATGATGCTGCTGAATCCTTTGTCGTCCTTGTTAACACGCTCGTCTCCTCCTCATATTATCTCCTGCTTGCATGTCGGTGCAGCTGGCCGCGAGAGAGCAAGGAACTCCCGTCGCCCACTGGTTCCCGCGTTCTTCGCGAGACCCCCTTCAGCACCATAAACCCGTTATGGCTGCTTGAAGGTGACCCACACACAACGTGGAGATGGCGTCCAGCCCTTCTCTATCCCACGTCACTGCTCGCCACGTCAGAATAGTCAGTTCCTGAGGCTACACACAAGTCCACCCGGCAGCAACCAGCGCCTTCTTCGCGTGTCTCAGCACGAGCGCCTACCCTGGTGCGTCCCTGCGGGCTCTCCAGCCCTTCTCTATTCCACGTCACTCTTCGCCACGTCGGATGAGGATAGCTCCTGAGGCTACTCACAAGTCCACCGGGCAGCAACCAGTGCCTTCCTCGCGTGTCTCAGCGCGAGCGCATACTGCCCCTGTGGATCCCTGTGGGTGCTTGGCAAGCACGTCTTCGTCGTCCGTGAATCCCAACCCAGGGGCGCAGCGCTACCGGGAGCGTTGCACCCCATCGTTCGGACTTGATCAGCTACTTCTGCTGCTGTCGTGTAGCTCTCTCAAAGAGCGGTCTAACATCCGAGAGGCCTTCTCAAGTTCTTCCTTCTAGAGTAAGTGGAGCCATGTTCTCTTTTTCAGTCGTTTCTAGAGTCTGACAACTCTAGACTCACTCCCAAAAATCTTCGAGAATCTAGAGTAGTGGAGCGAGACCCTCACTCTCGACGTTTTTGAGAGTGAATCTGACAGCTCTTGAAGGGAATTTCAGGACGCGGCATCAAGAGTTAGTGCAGCGGTGATGAAGGGCCTCGCTGCACTATTCTAGACTCTCGAATTTTCGAGAGTGGGTCGTCGCTGCACTTAGGGCCTCGCTGCACTACTCTAGACTCTCAAAATATTTCGAGAGTTCGGCTAGCATTGTCAGAGAGGCGAGACTCTTGAAATACCCGCCTTCGCTGCACTTACTCTATAACGTATTACAGTAGGTGAACTCTCGAAACCCTTGGCGTCATCCTACTCTACAGAAGAGCTTCACCACTGCGTACGGGACAGAGTCTGGCCGCCGGGACAGGAGGTCCACTCTCGAAAAAGAAGCCTGTCGGCGGGCAACTCCCGAGGACACTTGCAAATTCAGTTTTTGCAGGCGGGGGACTCTAGACATTTCGAGAGTTGCGTTATAGTGTGGCTTCTGACAGCTCTCGATCGGGTTTAGAGAGTTTCCCGATGGAGAGTAGGGGCCTCGCTGCACTACTCTAGACTCTCGAATTTTCAAGAGTGGGTCATCGCTGCACTTACTCTCTATCGGGAAACTCTCGAACCCCGATCGAGAGCTGTCAGAAGCCTCTAGAAACGTCGAGAGTCCCCAGCCTGCAAAAATTGAATTTGCAAGTGTCCTCCTGTCCCGGCGGCCAGACCAGCCTGGCGTTGTGTAGAGTCCCACGGCCCCCGGGGTTTCGAGAGTGCAGCTAGTGTAACAGGTTCTACAGTAAGTGCAGCGACGCCGTGTATTTCGAGAGTCTCGCCTATCTGACAGCTCTAGTAGAACTCTCAAAATATTTCGAGAGTCTAGAGTAGTGCAGCGAGACCCATAATCTGTACACCATCCCCCCCCATCTCTCTCTCTCTCTCTCTCTCTCTCTCTCTCTCTCCATCGTCAGTTGTCACGTTGGCGGGACATTGCAACTCCATCGCAAAAGCATACTCTCACCCACTGCTCTAGTCGTGCACTGGCTGCCGCTTCTCGACTAGACTCCTATGTTACACACGAGATTACACGTCGAGGTTCCGTTACGTAAGCTGCCCCATTGAGAGTACCTTACAGCCTGCCCACCTCTGCACCCCCGTTCTCTCTCTCTCTCTCTCTCTCTCTCTCTCTCTCTCTCTCTCTCTCTCTCTCTCTCTCTCTCTCT